AGGGGGGATATGATCTCCATGTACAAAATGTTCAATGGTGGTAGCAACATTAGCGATAAACTGTTTAAAATTAACTCCATTACAAAAACTAGAGGCCACCACCTAAAATTGGTGGAAAAAAAATTCCAGCACAAGGGGTGAAGGGGGTTCTTCACAGTAAGATCAGTTAGGGTCTGGAACTCTCTGCCACAGGCGGTGATTTCAGCAAATAATGTGGAATTGTTCAAGAAACTTTTGGACGATTTCTTAAGGGACCGTAATATACAGGGGTACAGGTACTCCTAGAATGAGATCCTAATAGGTTGGACTTGATGGACTAATGTCTTTATTCAACCTCAAATACTATGTAACTATGTAACAATAAAGTATATCAACAGCACAAGAAACGTATTTTTGAGCATGGACACATTAGAACCCATAGCAATCGCATTTTTTTTCTTCAATCGCTTTCTGTGTCTGTCACTGCGCACATTCACTCTCTGTTTGTCTTAGCGTTCATCATCCCCAGAACTGAACATGAGGGAAAATTCAAAATTCTGAAATGTCAAAGAACCGAAATAGAGGGAAATCTTCCAATGAAGACATTTGTTCTGGTAGCAATTAAAATGATTTATCTTACTTTGGAAAGATGTGTTCTCACTTTCCATGGAGTCTCTGGGACAGTAAATGCAAAGAGATCTCCCCAGTGGGACCCAAATGGAAAAAAGGAGGATGTAACCCTTTTCTACTATATTCAACACTTAGAGCCTGTTCACACCGGGTCTTTGCGTTAATCGCACGGTACAGCACAACACACCTATCATGCATTAACACTGCAGGAGGTGTATTGCAATTCGTTTGAATGGCATCCCAAACGAACCTCCCGCCCGCAATGTGACTGACCGCACCACAATGCCATGCGTTGCAATTGAAAAAAGTAGTGCATGCGTCTTGGAGTTTAAATTACTTTTACTTGGGTTAGAGTTTCTGCCTGACTTCATAAGGGTTATAATTTCTACTTGTTTCTCCTTCTTTGCAATGTTAGGAGGGGTTGTGAAGTGTGAGGGGTCTGTCCATTATAATTTGCAAAGTAGATTTGAACACTGGCTGTCCCAACAAAGGGTTAAAGGATTACAACCCTGGCTTCTCCATTGTATGTTAATGAAGATAATGAGAATCACAATCATCAAATTTCAGCCCCCAGTCTTTCTATAAGGACAGATCACTGTGAAGGTGCTCAGAAAAACCTGGACTTAGCCCCGTTGCCTGCTGCAACAAGACACCTAAAATGTAAGAAATGTTTGTATTATTTTTTGGTATGCTGTGTGAATGGGAACAAACATAAAGAAGGGTTTTCTCAAACTTGACTGCAAAAGTGGAAATCCACTCTAAAGTATATTTAAAGCCAAAATCTTTTTCATTTTGGAGTATTGCAGGGTCTTTTTTATTGCTCTGTGTCCTTGCTAGAGAGATTTACTCAATTTCTCCTGGTAACCACTTTCACTAGCAGTGAAACTGAGGGAAAATCCAGAATTTTGAGCCTTAACCAGAACAGGAATAGATGGGAAAATCTTCTAATGGGGACACTTGTGAAGTGTGACTTCTCTTTTGTTGAGAAAAAAAAAAAGAACAGACGAAAGTCGTCGTTGTCCCAGTTACATACACCATCCTTTCGGTTGCCATATTCCACTGAATTTGTAAACAGTTTGAGAAATTAAAGCAGCTTCAGATTGAAATGGAAAGGACCTGTTTAATAAGACTAAATTACAAAATTTAGGGCTGCATCTAACAATATTTTTCATAATCAATAGTTGTCTGTTTTGTTTTTTTCCATTCGAAAAAATTATCTAAGAAAAAAAAATTTAAAACAATGTAAAGCTCACTCCCTTGATGGACTACCATCTCAATACCAATTAATAGTCCATCACAGGAGAGAGCTTGCAGCTGTGGCTATTTCAGAAAACACACACACCATGGGGAACAAATGTAGCCACCCTCCAGAAGGAAGGACAGTGTCAGCACCAATTCAGAGGTGATTTGAGGCTCTACAGCCGAGTGATACACAAATAAGCGAAGGATGGTGGGATCACTTTCTGTAGGAAGTATCAGGGCATCTGTCATTACATGGAGGGGACATCTGTTAATGATGCCCCTCCAAAACCCCCACCACCAGGTATAAAAGATGCCCCCTCCAGGTAATGACAGATATTACCTGGTGGGGAGTGGTGCTAAAAGAGGCCTGATGACAGAGAACATTCCCTTCCCACCAGGTAATGACAGATGCCCCCGGTGGCATTTAAACTGAAACTGAATTTCTGGACACCTGAGCCCACACTGCTTCGTGGGCCCCTTAGTGGCTCTCAGAGGATTTGTTACTAATTTTTGGCAATTTGTCACTGCTAGCAGGTGTCCCGGCCAGGAACAGTGATGTGCGGTGGTGTC